AATAAGAATAAGAATAAGAATAAGAATAAGAATAAGAATAAGAATAAGAATAAGGATAACAATAAGAATAAGAGTAAAATAAGAATGACAATTTGAATAATAATAAAAATAACACGCATGAAGAAATTTGAAGAATATTAAAAATACGAACACGAAGTATATTCAAATATAGTCTTTTGTTTCAAATTGTAAGATTTAACGTTTTTTTGGGACTTTAAAATATGATCGTCCTTGCATTAAGATATTAAGTTTTTAAGATTTTATTTTAATATACTGCAATTCAGTTTATTTTATAAAAATGTTTTGTCCTTAAATCTAGTGTATGTATGTTTTTGAATTTCTAGTTGAAACTATTGTATTACACAGTAGCTCAAGATACAATTTTATAAATTTTATACATTTTTTTTTATACATGATTCTGTTATATTTGATACTAGGTGAAGCGCCCGGCGTTGCCCGTTGAATTGTTTTTAAAATCGAATTTTGAATAATTTATTTTTTATTTTTGAAGAAAATCTTTTTTTAACCTTTGTTACCCAGGGTACTCATTAGCACTGATGAGGACATCATAAAATGTCGAATATATTTACTGAAAAGCGGTCTCCATCTTTTATTAATCTGATTTTGTTAACCCTACCATCAACTTTAAGTTTTTAAGATAATATTGGTTTCATTTAGTCCATTCCAAGTTGGAGTTAACTCTCAATATTTCCGTTAATAAAAGGTGAATAAAAGGTTCATTTTGGATATTATAATAGAATAAGAATGATTGAATTTGATGCTTACTATAATAAGTACAATTCTAGTAAAGCTATGTTCCTAAAAACATCTAAGTCTTCCTTAAATTCGCATGTTTATTGGAACACCATACCCTGTTTATAATATTCCTTTCTTGTATTCAAGAATCTTTGGGACATATGTCGTCAAAGGTTTAAGCTCTAGGTTTAAAACACACACACACTCACAAGTAAGACGAAAAGGTATGATTTAGTATTTTCTATTGAATAAATAGATAAGTTAATAGTTATCTAGTTTAAGCATGGTAGGCTGGAGCAGGGGCAGGGGCATAAGCCTTGACCTCAGGGTAGACAGGAACTCCCTCGTAGGAAACATCGGCGACATATCCGTTGTAGTGGTCGGCGGTGTACTTGACGTGCTGGGTTCTGCCGTCGGGAAGAGCAACAGAGTAAGATCCGGTAACGGCACCGTTGGCATCAGCGGTCTCAGCGGCATTGAAGGCGGCCTTGGAGTAGTCATCAGCAACTCCGTAGGTGTAGGAGTAGGGCTCGGGGACCTCCTTCTCCTCGTGGTAGGGGGCAGGGGCGTGGTAGGGTGCAGGGGCGGGGGCGTGATAAGGAGCGGGAGCTGGGGCATATGCGGGAGCTTTGTGGACTAGGGGAGCAGCATGGACAAGGGGAGCAGCATGGACAAGGGGAGCGGCGTGGTGGACAGGAGCGGCGTGGTAAGGAGCTGGAGCATATCCAGCGTTGTGGGGAAGAGCAGCGGGAGCGTGGACGGCGGCGGAGTACTTCTCAGTGTTATGATAAGCATCAACAGCCTGAGGAGCAGCATGGGGCTGGCTCACAACGGAAGCAACTTTGCCAAAGTGGGGCTTGAAAACGGAGGAGGAGACGGAAGGGGCATTTCCGATCTTGATTGCCTGGTGATGGGACTGGTCCGCGGCGGCAACGGCCAAAAGAGCTGCACAGATAAATGCCTAAAATATTCAGAAATAAGTGTGTGAATAAAAAACTCAGCTTTACAATAAAAAGCTGGAAACATATTTAGAATAATGATAAACGAATAGATTACAAAGAATTACATATTAAGAAAAAGACTATGATAAATGACAAAATATAAAAAGTTAATTTTAAAATATCTCTTTATTACCTTCATGTTACTCTGGTTGATGATCAACTGATGATTAGCTTGAGTTCTCCCGTCCTTATATACTCCTGGCGCCTATTAGACGCCGCCTAGGCGCCAGTGCTTTGCGTTCACAGCTTCGAAGACGTACAAGCTTTTTCATCAGGGACCCACAGCAGAATTTAAATGTCATGACCCAACCCCTACTCCTGCACACCGGACATAGCAGACAGGGTGTCTCAAAAACACGGGAATACCGAAATTAAAGATTTCTAGATCGTCTTTGTAAATGATTAAGTTTTTCTCTTTTAATATTCTAAAATTGATCAGATAAAAAAAATTCACTTTTATAATATTTATTTCTGTAAATAATGCTACTGCAAGATAGACGGGGTTGTCCAATATACATGGAAATTCAGCGACGATTTAAAGATTTTCTTTAAAAAGTTCAAATAACTTTTTAAAAAGGTTGTATTTTTAAAAAAAATATGTTTTTATAATATATAAAGCATAATACGTATCAATATGTATTATAGGGTGTCAGTACGTCATACTTTTGCTTTGCTTTCATACATTTCTGCAAGATATACAGGCCACAGGGTGTTCTAAAAACATAGAAATTAGTTTCAGAATTTTCTTTGTATTTGATTTTTCATCTTTGATGTCTTTGACTCTCTGTATGAACTGTAGTAAAGTAAGAACAATCCTGTTTACAAATAAATTAAAGTTTGTCCTGTTCATACAGGTCTCAACCTTTAGTTATTGTAAATTGGCGGTACGGTACGTAAAGTCCAAACTAGGACCGCAAAGGTTGGCCCAGCTCAGATATTCAAATGGACAAAGTCTTTTCGTATTTTCATTATTCATCTTGCAGAGATATTCACAGACATATTATATAGTTTTCCAGAAACTAAAACTTATATCGTTTACATAAAACATATTCTAGCAGAAATAAATTTTAAAATAAGGTATTACAATGCTAAAGTAAGGTATTACAATGCTAAAATAAGGTATTACAATGCTAAAATCGTCGCTCAATTCTTATGTTTTTTTTTTTAACCACAGGAGAATAGTTTGCAGGGACAACGATGCAAATGGTTTAGAGTGCTTACGTTATAAAATTAAAGTTTTTTTCCTTATTCTTATTATTATTAAATTATTATTAAAATAATGAAATTATTAGATACTAAACTTTTAGGGCGCTTCGCGCCCATCTTCTATTTAAATTGTGAACATGTTCTTTTTGTTTACATTTTAAAACAAAGAAGAAAATTTTTTTGCGGAATTAAAAAAAAAATTCGCAGATTTTCAAGAATTTAAATTTTTTTACAAAATTAAAAACCTTTAAACCACATTTTTTTAAAAATTTTTGTCATCCATAAACCTTCCCTGTGGTCACGTGATGTCCCACAAAAAATTTGGGCCCGATCGGTTCAGCCGTTTTGACGTTTATTGGATACAAACAACAGACAGACACCCAAACAGACAAGCCAAATTTATAGACTAGGATTTTAGGGCGCTTTGCGCCCATCTTCTATTTAAATTGTGAACATGTTCTTTTTGTTTACATTTTAAAACAAAGAAGAAAAAATGTTTGCGGATTTAAAAAAATCGCGGATTTTCAAGAATTTAATTTTATTACAAAATTAAAAACCTTTAAACCACATTTTTTTAATTTTTGTCATTCATAAACCTTCCCTGGGATAACGCAAGGTGCCACAAAAAATTTGGTTTATTGGATACAAACAAATAAACAAACAGACATGCAAGCCAAATTTATATGTAGATTATAATTATTATTAATTCTATTATTGTTGCTACAATTCTCAAGCATCTCTTTTGTTTATTCCCTCTTTTCTTTTGATCATTTCAAACGTTCCTTTTCCGCCATTTCTTAAATAACACTTTTGAAAAAAACATGAAAATGCATGTGCAATAATTTAATTTTTATAGATATTAAACGTATATTTTGTAAGTTGTATTATTTGTTATTACTTTCTGTAACAATTTTATTATTGAGAAATTCGAAATTTAATACTTTTAAAAAAATTATGCATTTACAATTGAGTTTTTGTTACAATAAAATAAACAGTTTTTTACTTATTTTTTAGATCTTTAAATTTTAAACATGCACGTATGCTTATTAGAATAAAATTAGAATTACTGGGTATTTTTTACAAATAAGATTACTTAAAATTTGCGAAATGTATATTTTAACTTGCATGCAAAAATATATGTTCTTTGAGTATTATTCTTTACTTTTTTTGCGTTAAACGTTAAACGTTTTTGGCGTTAAGGTGATAAGCATAATTTTGTGCGCATTATCCAACTAGCTGCCATGTCATTTTGTTTCAACGAACATTTTGCTCAAAATTATTAACATAAAGTTATCACAGGCGGCCGTAGTACATTTCAATTTCCGAGCCGGGCCGGTCAACCTTTACGGTCCCAGTTTGTACTGTATCGCCCGGACATTGGGTAAATACAGCAGACACTCAATAGGACTAGCCGGTGCAACAAGGTGGACGCGGCCAGACTTTAGGTTGAATTTACTTTTTACTAAAGGGTTAGAAGGTGCGTGAGCAGGAACTCACAAATACTCTTGTTATTTTTTTTTATAGCAAGTTGCAATATGAAATAAGAATGATTAAATGCTGTCTATACACACACAACAGTTTTCTAGTACCAACTGTACATGTTCTCTCCTGTTCTCTACCCTTTCTCACATCGATGACCCAAAACAGGTTTATTTTAGTATCTCATCATTTACGGGGTTACGATGTAACAGGGTTAAATATCTTTTGCTTTATGGAGAAAAAAAACTTTTTGATAAAATATTTGAAAAGTATCTAAAATTAGTAAAACAATGGATCCTTTCGTTATTTGGTTGATTTAGATAAAAAAAATTTCAATAAAACTTTACGATCCCCGGATTAAGCTAAGTTAATTTAAAATATGGTTTATATAAACTGTGGAATAGGAAGACGACTGTTAGAATCAAATTCTAATTTTAATTAGTTCTGAACATAAAACACAATAATGATGCAGTATACACAGAACCATTTCACTTCATAAGATGTTTCAAGCTATATCGTTAAAATATTTGCTTTATTACAATATCGAATACACATAAAATTGTTGAAATACAGGGTGTCCCACAAAGCAAGACAGTAGCAATACGAAATGAAAGTTGTCTTTGATCTTTTGATTGATTTGCGGCATTTACTCGTGACCCTAATTTTACTAGGAACATTAAGTTAATAATTTAACATAAGTCAACTAGTCTTGGCATTTCCAAAATGTGGTCTGGCTTGGTGTTCTTTCAATATTAACGGAGATTTGAAGACTTTTGTCCAGGTTTCCACAATTCCACAAAAGGCAGACCACATTTAGATATACGGGGATTAGAAAATTTGAGCTTGTGGCAAAAACTCCAATCCTTTTTTGTTATAAAATACACAGCAGAATTTTTAGTTTAGAAGATCAAAAGTCTATGGCATCAGGTTGCAAAGTTATAAAGATTGAACAATTATGATTTGAGAAAAGTCATTAGTTCCATTTTCACTAATTAAACTTAAATTCAAACAGTCTCTTTATGATCATTAATCATAGATATACATTACATAGTAAAAAGATACCAAAAGTAAATCTTATAACTTTTGTCTCAATTGGTATTGTTATACATGAATGTCCAAAAAGCAGTATTGAAATGAGAGTAAACGGTATAAGTGTATAAATATATATATACTGTATATAAAGTGTATATATACTGTATATAAAGTATATATACTGTATATAAAGTGTATATATATATACTGTATATAAAGTGTTTAAGAATAAGCTATGTATAGCTTGAGGCATAAGTGGTGTGTGAGGCGTAGTGCCTGTCCGTGGTGTGACATTTACGATGAGCAGCGTAGAGCCAGGCAGTTCTACGTTTTGTAATATAAATAGGGACCCACAGATACATTTTCAACTAAATAGGTTCTTGGTTTGGTCTTTGTGTTTATGTCTAACCTTGTATTTATGTCTAGTCTTATGTTTAAATCTAATCTTGTGTTTAAGTCTAGTTTTATGTTTGTATCTAATCTTGTGTTTATATCTAATCTTGTGCTTATTTCTAATCTTGTATTTATGTAAAATATTGTGTATATGTCTAGTCTTGTGTTTAAGTCTAATCTTGTGTTCATGTCTAATCTTGTGTTTATGTCTAATCTTGTGTTTATGTCTAATCTTGTGTTTATGTCTAATCTTGTGTTTATGTCAAGTCTAGTGTTTATGTCTAATCTTGTGTTTATTTCCAATCTTGTATTTATGTCTAATCTTGTGTTTACGTTTAATCTAGTGTTTAAATTTAATGTTGTGTTTATGTTTAATCTTGTGTTTATGTTTAATCTAGTTTTTATGTCTTATCTTGTGTTTATGTCTAGTCTTGTGTTTAAGTCTAATCTTGTGTTTATGTTTAATTTAGTGTTTATGTCTAGTCTTGCGTTTATGTCAAGTCTAGTGTTTATGTCTAATCATGTGTTTACATCTAATATTGCGTTTATGTCTAATCTTGTGTTTATGTCTAGTCTTGTGTTTAAGTCTAATCTTGTGTTTATGTATAGTCTAGTGTTTATGTCTAATCTTGTGTTTATGTCTAATCATGTGTTTACATCTAATATTGCGTTTATGTCTAATCTTGTGTTTATGTCTAGTCTTGTGTTTAAGTCTAATCTTGTGTTTATGTATAGTCTAGTGTTTATGTCTAATCTTGTGTTTATGTTCAGTCTAGTGTTTATGTCTAATCTTGTGTTTATGTCAAGACTAGTGTTTATGTCTAATCTTGTGTTTATGTACAGTCAAGTGTTTGTGTCTAATCTTGTGTTTATGTTAAGTCTAGTGTTTATGTTAAGTCTAGTGTTTATGTCTAATCTTGTGTTTATGTCAAGTCTAGTGTTTATGTCAAGTCTAGTGTTTATGTCAAGTCTAGTGTTTATGTCAAGTCTAGGGTTTATGTCAAGTCTAGTGTTTATGTCAAGTCTGGTGTTTATGTCTAATCTTGTGTTTATTTTCAATCTTGTATTTATGTCTAATCTTGTGTTTATGTTTAATCTTGTGTTTAAATTTAATGTTGTGTTTATTTTTAATCTTATGTTAATATCAAGTCTAGTGTTTATGCCTAATCTTGTGTTCATATCAAGTCTAGTGTTTATGTCTAATCTTGTATTTATTTCCAATCTTGTATTTATGTCTAATCTTGTGTTTATGTTTAATCTTGTGTTTATGTTTAATTTTGTGTTTAAATTTTATGTTGTGTTATGTCTAATCTTGTGCTTATGTCATGTCTAGTGTTTATGTCTAATCTAGTGTTTATGTCTAATCTTGTGTTTATGTCAAGTCTAGTGTTTATGTCTAATCTTGTGTTTATGTCAAGTCTAGTGTTTATGTCTAATCTTGTGTTTATGTCAAGTCTAGTGTTTATGTCAAGTCTAGTGTATATGTCAAGTCTAGTGTTTATGTCAAGTCTAGTGTTTATTTCTAGTTTAGTGTTTATGTCTAATCTTGTGTTTATTTCCAATCGTGTATTTTTGTCAAATATTGTGTTTATGTTTAATCTTGTGTTTATGCTTAATCTTGTGTTTATGTCAAATCTTGTGCATATGTTTAATCCAGTGTTAAATTTAAATGTTGTGTTTCTTTATAATCTTGTGTTTATGTCTAATCTTGTGTTTGTGTTAAATCTTGTGTGTCTAGTCTTGTGTTTATTTCTAATTTTGTATTTTTGTCTAATCTTGTGTTTATGTCTAGTCTTGTGTTAATGTCTAATCTTGTGTTTTATGTCTAGCCTTGTGTTTATTTCTGATTTGGATTTTTGTCTAATCTTGAGTCTAAATTTAATCTTGTGTTTATGTCTAATCTTGTGTTTATATTAAATCTTGTTTTTATGTCTAATCTTGTGTTTATGCTTAATCTTGTGTTTATGTTCAATCTTGTGTTTATGTTCAGTTTTGTTTTTATTTTTAATCATGTGTTAATGCTTAATCTTGTGTTTATGCTTAATATTGTGTTTATGTATAGTCTTGTGTTAATGTTTAGTCTTGTGTTTAAATCAAATCTTGTGTTCATGCCTAATCTTGTATCTAAGTTTAATCTTGTGTTAATGTCTAACCTTGTGTTCATGTCTAATCATGTTTTGATGTTTATTCTTGTGATTATGTCTAATCTTGTGTTTATTTTAATCTTGTGTTTATGCTTAATCTTGTGTTTATTTCCAATCTTGTGTTTATGTCCAATCTTGTGTTTAAGTTTAATCTTTTGTTGATGTTTAATCTTGTTTTTATGTCCAATCTTGTGTATATGTATAATCTTGTGTTTATTCCTAATCTTGTGTTTGTGTTAAATCTTGTGTATATGTCTAATCTTGTGTTTAAGTCTAATCTTGTGTTTATGCCTAATATTGCGTTTATGTCTATTCTTGTGTTTATGTTTAATTTTATGTTTAAATTTTATGTTGTGTTATATCTAATTTTGTGCTTATGTCAAGTCTAGTGTTTATGCTTAATCTTGTTTTTATGTCAAGTCTAGTGTTTATGTCTAATCTTGTGTTTATGTCAAGTCTAGTGTTTATGTCTAATCTTGGTTTTATGTCAAGTCTAGTGTTTATGTCAAGTCTAGTGTTTATGTCAAGTCTAGTGTTTATGTCAAGTCTAGTGTTTATGTCAAGTCTAGTGTTTATGCCAAGTCTAGTGTTTATGTCTAATCTTGTGTTTAAGTCTAAGCTTGTATTTATTTCAAATCTTGTATTTATGTCCAATCTTGTATTTATGTCCAATCTTGTATTTATGTCTAATCTTGTGTCTAAGTTTAATCTTGTGCTAATGACTAACCTTGTGTTTATATCTAATCTTGTGTTAATTTCTTTTTGTTTTTGTTTGATCAAATAAGATATAGAAATATATTTTTTTCCTACAACAATACTATCTTTTTTATAAAAAAATATTATCCGGGTTTAACAGATTGTTGCACTATCAACAAAATAAAAAATAATACAAGATAACAATATTTTTAATCATTATATTACATATTTATTTATTTATAACGGGATACGTAATAACAGAAGTTACAACTATTTATTACAAATGCTTACAGAATTACTTTTCAATGCAGAATAAAGGAACTGATTACTCGTCACATTCTCTATTTTCTAATCAGTACAGTACAGTACAGTACAGTACATTACGGTACAGTAACAACCTGTACAGTACAGCAGTACAGTACAGTACAGTAAAGTCTGAAAATTAACTTCACTGTCATAACTCCCGTATTGTACTGTACTGTACTGTATAGTACAGTACAGTACAGTATTGTACAGTACAGTACAGTACAGTACAGTACAGTACAGTACAGTACAGTACAGTACAGTACAGTACAGTACAGTACAGGACAGTATAGTACAGTACAGTACAGTACAGTACAGTACAGTACAGTACAGTACAGTACAGTACAGTACAGTACAGTACAGTACAGCACAGTAGTTTGCGTACAGTTCTTTTTCTAACAAAGACAAAATTATAATTATTCTAACTTAGTCCGAATTTAATGAATTCGAGCCGAGTCTCAAATCCGCCAGAAACCGGTTTCAAATGAGCGCCGGCTTAAATCTTGAAACATTGAATACAATTCTATGGGGAACCAACCATATTTAATTTAATATTTTAAACTATTTGTTTATAACTTCATCGTATGTACAATTAAATTATAAGTCCCACTTCACTAAGTACATGATTTTACTGTTCGTTATGTACAGAAACGATTTAGCCTTCAAAGCGTTGTTTAAAAGGCACAGCGCTATCCAGAGAGCTTTGCAATTGTGTATCCATTTTCTTTACCGCGTCGATTTTTGTAGTAATTGGCAAAAATCTGATAGGTTTTTGCGTAAGAGCATGCTCATTGCACAATTTGGATTATTATGTTTGTGTGNGTTGTTTTGACAGGATGGGCGCGGTGTGCCGTGCACCCTTTAAATTCTTTAAAAAACTAAAAAGGAGATAGAAGTACGCCTATTTCTAATTTCACCCCAAGCTTTTCCAGGGATAAGGAATTAGTAATAAAAAAATCCAGGGCGAGTTTTATAACAGAATCAAGTTTATGCGTGAAAATCACATTATATTTCAAAATGGACGTAATGCCAACTTTTAATTTGTTGAACATATTATATGTGAAATTTATGTAAAGCATTCCAGATCTGACAATGCCTATAAGGTATAAGGTATAAGGTATAAGGTATAAGGGTACCGTTTGTGAATGAGGGATGCCATCCTATAGATATGGAGGATCACTCGAAATTACGCTTGCAGTCCCTTTAATGGCAGCATTTCCTAGCCCGACCCCTGGAATTCGCCAGGTCAAGATCTTGTCTGCCTAATCTGATAATAGAAGAGGAACAATCATCATCCCAATCAAACACATCCTAAACATTTAAAGTCATGTTCCGGATCCGGATCCGGAAAATCCGGTTCCGCAAATATTTTAAACATATACAAACAAGGCCCAACGGCAAATTTCCGTTAATGGTGCAATTTGTTATTGTTTATTATTAAACAAACCCAGTAAGTTCCTTTTCAGTAAAATAATAAATATTTATTTTTCATCACTTTACTTAATTACACAATTATGTAAATAGTCTAATAAGGAGAGAAAGGCCAAACACAACAATTTCTCCTTCGAGTCACATTCTCCTCATTTTCTCGTCCGAGCCACCTCGAAAACCTATTTTTAAAGTGTCTAATCCTCCGAGATAAACTATTTCTTTAAAGTGTTTAATCCTCCGAGATAAACTACTTTTTTAAAGTGTTTAATCTTCCGAGATAAACTATTTTTTAAAGTGTTTAATCCTCCGAGATAAACTATTTTTTAAAGTGTTTAATCCTCCTTGATAAACTATTTTTTAAAGTGTTTAATCCTCCGAGATAAACTATTTTTTAAAGTGTCCAAACCGTCCGAGATAAACTATTTTTTTNAAAGTGTTTAATCCTCCGAGATAAACTATTTTTTAAAGTGTTTAATCCTCCGAGATAAACCATTTTTTAAAGTGTTTAATCCTCCGAGATAAACTATTTTTTAAAGTGTTTAATCCTCCAAGATAAACTATTTTTTAAAGTGTTTAATCCTCCGAGATAAATTATTTTTTGAAGTGTCTAATCCTCCAAGATAAACTATTTTTTTAAAGTGTTTATTCACCCGAGATTAACTATTTTTGAAGTGTCCAATCCTCCTTGATAAACTATTTTTTGAAGTGTCTAATCCCCCTTGATAAACTATTTTTGAAGTGTCTAATCCTCCTTGATAAACTATTTTTTAAAAGTGTTTAATCCTCCGATATAAACTATTTTTAAGAAATCGGGCCACATTAAAGCTTAAATGAAATATTTAATTTTTGTAAAAACAAAAAATTTAATTGAATTAAAGTTTTAAAGTTAACCCTGTCTGGCCTGCGTGGGGGGGATCAACTTGACCCCCCCCCCACCCCTATTGTATTTTTTACAATAACTTAAAAAGTATTTGAGCAAGGAAGCTTAAATTTTCTGGATTTTTTAAATAACCCATGCCACTCACATAAGCCTAAAAGATGGGCTTTTATATCTCCTGCCTGAGACCTCAGGCAAACTGCCTAAATTCTTTATCTTTTATACCAAACCAGACTAAATCTTTATTTAGACCTACTTCCAGTCCTTGGATTTCAACATTATATATGCTCTTTGGAAAGCCTATAAAAAAGCAAGCAGATTGCACAGCTTTTTGCACAGACGCCTTTATAAAGGGAATTTCCACATTTTCAATTTTTCTTGATTACACATTTAGGCTTTTAAAATATTGCAATTGTTTTTGCACATTTTAATTTGCTGAGTTAGGGGCTTTTCAAAAATGTATAACTTGCTGCAATTTGCTAAACTTTTTTGCTTAATTACTACATTTTGCAATAAATATTTGAATTTTTGTGAATTTGCTATTTTTTTGCAGATTATTGAGGTAGAGCCCAAGGGCTTTCTAAAGCATATCAAATTTTAAAGATTTGTATCACAATAAGAAAATAGAGGGAGGGGGGGGTCAAATTGCCCCCCCCCACAGGCAGTCAGTCAGTACACATAATTATCGAAGGACGAGGATTCTGACGTGGCTCGGACGAAAAAATGAGGAGAATGTGACTCGGACGAGATATTGTTGAGGATGGCCTTCCTCCCCTCGTATAAAACAAAAATTGATTTATTTTGCAGCAAGATGGAGAACAACAGGAGACTTATTTCACTTCATAGAAAAGTGATAGAAAAATACTTTAATTTTTCTTTATCTTGGTTTTGGTTAATTTTTCTCTACCTTGGATTTGGTTATTTTTTCTTTACCTTGGTTTTGGTTAATTTTTCTTTATCTTGGTTTTGGTTAATTTTATTTACCTTGGATTTGGTTAATTTTTCTCTACCTTGGTTTTGGTTAATTTTTCTTTACCTTGGTTTTGGTTAATTTTTCTTTACCTTGATTTTGGTTAATTTTTCTCTACCTTGGTTTTGGTTAAGTTTTCTTTACCTTGGTTTTGGTTAATTTTTCTTTACCTTGGTTTCGGTTAATTTTTCTTTACCAATTGGTTTTGGTTAATTTTTCTTTACCTTGGTTTTGGTTAATTTTTCTTTACCTTGGTTTTGGTTAATTTTTCTTTACCTTGGTTTTGGTTAATGGATCCGGAGTTTTACTCTCTTTATCAGATAAGATATCCCACACAAGAGCCTTGATGCATTCATTTACTCCGAATCCATCCTAAGATAGCAATGATTTGAGAAAAAAAAACAGCCGGATTCTATCGGTTGAGCGAGTGGTTGAACGAGCAATTGAACAAGCTGTTGAACGAGCGGTTGAATGAGTAGTTGATCGAGTAGTTGAACAAGCTGTTGAACGAGCGGTTGAATGAGTAGTTGATCGAGTAGTTGAACAAGCTGTTGAACGAGCGGTTGAATGAGTGATTGAAAGATTGGTTGAATGAACAGTTCAAAGTTGTTTAATGAGCGATTGAATGAGTAGTTGAACGAGTTGTTGAACCAGCTGTTGAACAAGCGTTTGACTGAGTAGTTGAATTAGCAGTTGAATGAGTGGTTGAAAGTATGGTTGAACGAACCGTTGATCAAGTTGTTGAATGAAAACGACGACGAAAAATCGAAAACGAAACGATCATTTTATAAAAAGATCGTTTTTTATAAAGTTCATTTTTTAAAAATTGTCGTTTTTAAAACGATCTTTTTTATAAAACTCGTCGTTTCGTTAACGATCGTTAACGAAGAGAGAAAATCGACCCGAAGGGCATTTGTTCATATCATTGAGTAGTTTTTAAGAAAATATCAAGAAGTTTTAGCTCCTCCACAACTGTTAAACTACGTGTAAGACGACATTCAATAAAATTGTTTGTAGTTTTTTTTCAACAACGATCGTTTTTATAAAGTTCATCGTTTAGTTAACGATCGTTAACGACGACCCTTCATTAACGATTGTTAATTTTTTTCAGAAACGATCGTTTTTTTAAATCGTTTAAAAAACGGTCGCAAATTGTTTAATAAAACGATTGTTTTCAAAATTTTCTAAAAGCGCAGGGTCGTTTTTTTCTGAAAACGATTGAATAACGAAACAAAAAAACGATTGTTCAACGACTGTTTTCTAACACGATCAAAACCCAAATGTATACAGTTATAACCATAAAACTGTAAAAAATGTGTACAGTTAGAACCATAAAAATGTAAAAAATGTATACAGCACAGTACAGTACAGTACATACCTTTGCTGAAGTCCGTGACCAAGACCCGATTCTTAATCTAAAAGAAAACAATACTTCAAACAAAGCTTTCCAATAATGTGTTTTATCAAACTAATTTTCCAAATTAAATCTGCTAAAACTTAGTGGTGGAAATATTTTACGCTGTCGAAACTTGGGAAAATGTCAGAAGCGCA